GTTCCACGGCATGTATCTTCTCCTCACCTCGTCACTTCCTTTTTGTTCATGCCACAATGCTACCTCTTTCTCTGTCATTTATACCTTATAAATATTCATTTTATATAATAATTTTAAATAATTAAATCCAAATCCAGATATACGTATATTGATGGGAACGTCCGAATCATTTTATGTATTATTGTAGGTTATATATAGAGCTATGCGTGTTTATGTTTATTTTTTAAAGTTGATCATTTGATGTTATAATTTTGACACAGTTAAAATTTATTCATTTGAAACTCAATCTTGACACAGTTTTTTTTATGAGTACTGAAGTTAGTTAAGTTTTGAAACTTAAGGATTAATGTTTTAAATTCTTAAAATTGTAAGTGTGTTAAAATTTAGAGATTGAGCCACAGACAAGTAAATTATGCGACCAAATGATTAATTTTTATTTGTTGTGGTTGTGTTTCATAGTTCTGGGCTTGTATGATTAGCTTTGGTTTGGATCCGTGAGCAGCCTGGGCAGTAACTATATAATGTTCTTTTTTTTGGCCACAACCATGATGTTCATAAGTCGCTCACATGCATGCCATGGGCCATGTGGCCTGTCAATCGCATGGATTTCTTCTTTTGACGGCATGAGTTGGCCAGTGTGTTTGTTGGAAATTTCAGTTCTTGATAAAATACAATGAAGATTAGGTGGATGGAAGCAAAAAAGCTTATCGCTGGCGGGTCGTTTGACACTAGTTCAATCAGTATCACAGCAAATTTCGGTTTTTCATATACAGCATGAGGTAGTGCCAAAATGTATTGGAAGGCAAATTGAGAGAATGCAATGAGAATTTCTATGGAGAGAGGGCAAGGGAAGAAGAAAGATTCATCCGATGGGATGGAAGAAGCTATGCCTCCCAAAGAAACATGGTGGGTTTGGATTGAGGGACATGTCTAGATGAATGATGCCTTGATTGGAAACATTGGGTGGGAGGTGCTTGCTAATCCTGAAAAGCTCGTATCACAGGTGTTAATTGCCAAGTAAGGGAGGAAGGAGAACCTTACTAACTGATGTACGGTTAGACAAACATATTCTGCAATATGGAAGAAGTTAGGGGAACTATGGGAGGAATTGGTGCACAATATCAAGTAGGACGTAAAGAATGGGCTCAAGGTGAAATTTTGGAAAGATAAATGCTAGATTGTGAAGGTCCATTATTGAATAAGACTTTAGTAAATCCTCCAAATGGGATCTTAGAATATACAGTGGCTCAATTTGTGGGACAAGATGGAGAGTGGAAAATAGAGCAATTATCAACCTAGCTACTAGTGAATATTACTTCTAGAATCCAAGCAATGCTACCATCTATCAGTGAAGAGGAGGAGGATGGCATTAAGTGGTTGAGAAAGGGGAAGGAGAAATATTCTGTTAGTAAGACATATGAGATGCTAAAGGGTTTTCAAGATATGGGGGAGGAAGAGGTGTGGGTGAGGATATGGGTGTGGCAAGGTCCAAGAAGTGTTCAGGTTTGCTTATAGATGCTGACAAGTGATTGCTTATTAACATCAGTTTGTAGGGGGAAGATTTTGGGGACATCTCCTATGTGTTTATGTTATGAGTCTTATATCGGGAGGCCATATTGGTGGAGTGTGGTTTATAAGTCAGTTGGGCACCTTCCTCCTATAAGGTACCTTTTGAGGGTGAGTTCTACCTGAAAGGCTTATGGTCATGATATTGATGCTTTCGTTGAAAGCCATCGTTTGAGGAAAGGGATGCCCATTAAGGGGTTGATCGGCCAAAGGCTGAGTGAAGCGCCATAGAGCGTATGCCATTATAGATGTTGGCTCTTGCGGGGTGGGCTATGTTATGAGTCTTACATCAAAAGGCACATTTGGTGAAATATGGTTTATAAATCAGCTGGGCACCCTTCCCTTATGAGACATTTTTTGGGGGTAAGTTCTATCCGAAAGGCTTGTGATCGTGACATTTGATGTGGCTACTAGGATAAGGCCGAGTGAAGTGCTATAGAGTGAAGCCGTCGTGGATGTTGGCTCTTGACAGGGTGACATTATCATAAGTCCTATATTAGAAAGCCTCACAAGTAGTATGAGGTTTATAAGTATAAGGGCTCTCTTATCCAATAGGCTTATCTTTTAGGATAAGCTCTCCCTTTAAAATTATGCTCATTACAATTTGACGTACGAGTTAATAGAAGAAGATAGTTTGCATACTATAAGGGATTGTGAGTAGCCAAGGCAAGTATGGCATGATCTCACGTGTGAAAATAAGGTACAAATTTTCTTTTCTCTTCCTTTGTGCGAGTAGGTGTTATTAAACCTAGAAAATAACAGGGATTCTGATGTTGAGTGGAATCTAGTCTTCACCATTAGATCTTGGTTTCTGTGGACTTGGAGAAATTGTTAGTTGTTTGAGTTGGGAAAAGGAGGTCCAAAATCAACATTGCAAGGGTATTTGCAAAATAACCATTAGTGTTAAATGGGTAAAGCCAAAGGTTGGTTAGATTAAACTAAACGCAGATGGTGCGGTGCAAGGTAGGAATGGTAAAGCAAGTTGTAGATGGGTGTTTTGAAATAATTATGTTCAATGGATAGGGGGATTTGTGAGGAGACTAGGGAAGTTCTTGGTGGAAGATGCAATGATGTGAAAACAAATGGAGGGTAACATTGTCATCATTGAGTCAAATTCTTAGACAGTTGTCTAGAGGATAAAAAGATTATTAATATTAAAGAGGGGATAAGTTTACTAGAAGAATTGAGAGACTCGTGGAGAACAGATGAAAAGTTAAAATTATGCATACTTTTCAAAAAAGGAATGCCTGTATGGATTGGATTGTGAGGTAATGACTAATTTAATCCAATTCAATAAGGTTCATACATGAGCCAGTTAGGTTGTGCAACGGCCTAGATGGGTTAGCTCGAAGGGTTGCTTGCATCTCGTCCCATTTTGCACAAAAGGGCTAGGCTAGCCTATACCCATATGTAGCTTGTTTCAACCTGTACAAATATGTGCAGGTTAAGGTTAGCTCGTTTTGTGCAAAAACCTTTTTTTTTTAAAAAAAAAAAGGAAGTAAGAACTTACTCTAATTTTAACCAAAATAAAATAATAAATTATTAAAAAAATATGGGAAGAGATCTATAGAGAGAAAAATTATTCTTAAATTTTAGAAAGCTAAGAAATAAAGCCTTTGTTGCCAAATCTTAAATTAACCTAGATCAAAATATCTTCAAAGTGTACTGACAATTCCTAAATTACATCCAAGTACCTAACAATTTATCAAAGCAATTTTATAAGTCATTCCCATACTATTATACTTTAGATCTAAATAAAGGGAGAGCAAGAATGAGTAAAGATGCATCTAAACACTAATTGAAACAAGAAGAGAAGATGAGCACAAGCTGGACAGTGATGTACTTGGACTTCAAATTAACCTCTAGGAAGGCACCAAGTGTGCAAAGTGAGAATAATGGTGAGGCAAAGATTGACATGCAATGGAGGTAAATGGGGTAAATGGTCGTTCAATAACAGCAAGGTAGAGAGATGTAAGGTTTTTAGATGAAGATTGAAGAAGAAGGGCAATAGAGTATATGCTTGAAAGGTGCGGCATGAGTGAGAGGCCAACAAGCATTAGTTGAGACTTGAGTTTGGGATTTGAGAGGGAGAAGTGAAAGACAAGATGCTAGGTTTTTGACCTGGGAAGTGGAAATTGAAAATTTGTGACTAGAGTCTAGAGGAGAGGGTGAGAAGAGATAAGGAATACTATAAAAAAAGAAGAAGATGATGATGATGACGACATAGGGGGAAGAAGTTGATGGGTTGGGCTTTGTAGTATGTTTTTTAAGGGCTTATTTTAGATCCAATCTAACAAACTTTAAATACACACACACATGGGCGAGAACGGACAATTCGATAGTCTACTCATAGCTCGTCTTGCCTGTATTTTTTTAAACCATATTTTTTCAGATTACCTATTTTTATTTTTGGGCGAGTTCGGGCTAGCTCAAATTAACTATACACGAGCGGGTATGTGCAAGTTTATCAACATCATGGTTCACTTGCTCACCCTTATGAGCCATCAGACAGTCTTGATTGCTACGCAAAGATGAATTGGGCATGATGTATATGAGAATATTGATTTAAGTTTATATTTTTGGGCTTACTGCCTACTCTATATACCAATAAAAAAATATGATATTATTATTTATTTATCATACAAAAAAATAAAAAAATGATAGGAAATCATTGAAATTTATTTGGATATGTATAGAAAGGATTATGAAAGAAGCATAAGTGAGGAGGGTAAAATGAATAATCTTAAATCTTGTAAAGACAAGTAAAGAAAAATTAAAGATAACACCTTAATAAATGAGACCTCTTAATTAATAATTTTTTAAAATTTTATTTGATAATAAATCACAAAATGTCGTGCAATCCATGTAAGTGTGATGTTACAAAGGCTTCTTGTTGTTTTATAAGGCTTGTTGTGCATGGTTGTACTGAATAAATAAAAATATATTGGCTACAAGCTCACGACAAAACTACATGATGTTGATGAATCTTTTTGTCATTTCATCTTCGTGAGGAGGACACACTGCAGCAATCGAACCATCACTCTCAGCTTCTGTTGTCTCCTCTTTAACCATGCTAGAGAATCTTCATCCAACAAGCCGCCACTATATTTTTCCTGTCTTATTCGATCTCATAAAGCGTCAAGCTTTACAATATTTACGATGCACCGACATTTAAAAATAATAATAAACGTTTTATATATTATATACTAAAACTTGAAAAAAATTAATATTTTAGTTTATTGTTATAAATATTTTTATATTACTTTAAAAATACTTTCTTAAAAAAATTAAGATACCTGTACTTATATCATAAAATATTGAAATATAAATTATATATATTTCCTTACTCATTTTAAAATTTTAAAAATTACCGTATCCAATATGTTACACTGTATCGGATCTTCTCAGCTCCAAACACAACAAAAAAAGGGAAATAAAAAAGCTCAACTGACAAGCTTCAATAATTTATGATAGTATGTCGCCGCAAATATTTCCTCAAATTTGTACACATACAACATAACCAGAGGCATATAAAATAGAATAATTCAACAAGCAAAACGGGAAATCTCGGATGTTGTGACAAGGATGATTTTCAATCAGAGCAAGGCTGGGTCTTCCAACGGTACAGCAGCTTCTTCTTCTTGGAGCTTGGGTTATCAATGGTGACAACAACCTTGCCAGGTTCACCCGTTTTGAAACTGCCACAGACCACTGCTTCGTCTGATGAACCAATCTTTCTACTCTTTTGGATTATCACTGTATAGCTTCCTTCACTGATTGGCACAAACTCTGCACTGTAACTTGCTTCCCACCCTATTACTCTCACCTCCCAACAGACATGGCATTTCTGCAAATTCCCAATCAAAAACAAAAACAATAATGATAATAATGAAACTTCAATCAACAAGAAGAGAGAAAAAGAAAATGAGCTACAAGGACAAAAGGCTAATTAAATATTTAGCATAAGTCCCAAATATAAAAATAAAACCTGCAAGGGACCATGGCCCTTTAGAGACATTATATTTTTTAGTAAAAAATATCAAAATATTCTTTCTTTTTCTACACTCGTATTTAGTATTAAAGATTCATCAATGGCTTTTACAAATCAATGTAAAAAAAAGTAAAGTAAGTTATTTTTGGTACTTTCTTTAAAAATATATTGTCTCTCCATCCAAGATTCCTTACAAGGTTTATTTCAAAATTTGGGACTTTATCAACTTGTGTCGTTTTGGGTTAAGCATCAAAGTGGTCCCCATACATTTCGATGAACAGCTGTACGTATAGGAAACAAAAACAAAACCCAAGGAAAGGTTGCTCGTTAGAGCAGGGGAATCCTAGGAAAGCTTCCTTATTATAATGAAAACGATCAATGTGGGGTAAATAAAAAAATTAAAAACCCACCCACCTCACTAACGGGAAATTCCACAGTATGTTTTGACGCTTGCCGTACTATAACTTCTGTAACAGCATCGGTATTTCCGACTTCTGCATCTTTGCTTAATCCTCCATACTTGACCGGAAGTTGCTCTGCTGCTATGTATCTGAAATCCACTTATCCACATGCCAAAATTGAAATCTTCAAACTGAAACTGAAAAGGAAGATTAAAAAACAATTGAATTCTCTGATCTTTACCTTAAAAGAATGTCTGCAGATTTGGAAGGCCCGGCAAACACAAACTTGCTCCTTGTTCTGTGTGTCAGAAAAGGGCTTATCATCCTGTTCACTGCCATGTACCACCAAGGCACATTGATGAACACCTACACACAAAAAGAAAAAAAAAAAAAAAGTATACATTAGAACAACATCTAGATGTTATGTCAAATGCTGTGTAAACTTCAAAGTGGTACGTACCTGTTTGGCTACAAATTCTGGGTAGTTGTCTTGCAGCAATTGAAGGGCCTGTTTGGTTGCATGTCTAAGCTCCCACTTGCTAGGTCCAGGAGAATCTCTGAGATCATTGACCTGAACAATGGTGGATATTCCACCTGGGGAGAAATCCAATTTCCTGATGCTCTTTTCCAGGAATTGAATTCTCCATCTAAGGAAATTCTCTCTCTTTTCCTCGTCCGAGAATGTCTTCTTGTAGAGCTCCTTGTTCTGTAATTCGCCATAGATGTTATAACATACTGGGTGTCCTGCCTTGTCGAAGCCATGCATGTAGACCACCTTCTCTAAATGATCTCCCAAGTTCTTTTCACTCATCAATTCCTCGATTCCGAACTGTTTTCTCCATTGAATTGTGTTCTTGATCATGGCGAACGATTCCTTCACTTTGAAGTCTCTGGCTCGCAGAAATTTCAGCAGAATCACATCGCTCCTCTCATCTGCAAGCAATGGTATCCCCCAGATGGATACCGCTTCGTTTTCAGCTTCTTTTGTTCCTGCTTCTGCTGGGGAAACAGAGGAAGTGACGGCGACATCACTCTCGTTTACAGCTTCCTTGGGTTTTGCTTCATCGTCTTGGGCAGGTTGTTCTGTCTTTTCTGTTTCTTCCTCTGCTTTTGTGGGTTCCGCAGGAGACACGTGATGAGAAGCCGATTCCTCAGCTGATGATTCTTTTTTCTCGTCGTTGGTCGGTTTTTGTTGTTTGGACGGAGGTGGGTTGGGAGAAGCAAAGAAGAGATGGTTGTCGAGTGCGTGTTGGACGAGGAGCTTAAGATCTTGGAGAGCCTTCTTCTCATGATCAGGAAGATCAGAAACTATGGTACTCTCCTTATCAACTTCATTCTCTGGCAGATTCTTTGAGCGTGCTTGAGTTTTCATAGACTCTGAAACATCATCAGCAAGCACCGCTTGTTCCAGTGTAGTCTTAGAAGCATCCTCGGCCATGGTTGTTTCTGGGCAACTATGAACTTTTATCAGAAGGAGAGAGGAACAAGAAATGGAAGTGATGGGATTGAGGGAAAATGATGGTAGTTTATATATATAGATAGATAGAGAGAGAGAGAGAGAGAGAGAGATGAATCATGAGGGAAACTGTGCGGTAAAGTGGAGTAATCATGGAAGCAAAGTTGGATTTAAATGTGTGGACGAAGAATCCTAAGAAAAACAACTCAGGTTTGATCATCTTTTTGGTGTTTCTTTCGACTCCAAAGTCGAAAGTCACAGCGCTGTCTGTTGTAACAGACAAAAGATTACATAACGTAGGACCCCATCAACATCATCGCCATTGTTTCTGATTCAAGTGCCTTCTGAACGGTTCGATTTAAGCATGTCAGGTCATGGCGTGCGTAGAATCAAGCACTCTCTGTTTAATGCTTTAATCACACTATTTTCGTTTTCCTTTCCAACGTTACAAAAATTCACATTTTTTCAGGCTTGGACGATCGAAAGCGTTATATAGGAGACCGTTGATACAACCTTGGATGCTTTTCGTTATTTATTTTTGTTATGATTTTTTTATTAAATTATATAAAAAAAAAAAAACTTAAACATGGTGACGTTTTAACGGGTCTCCCATGACCAGGTCACAAAAGTGCATTGCGGCTCTCGTACCATTTCATGGGCTCACGACATTCCCATTAGTTGCATTTCGATGTGATGGTCCGAGAGAGAGATCCGGGCCCACAGCGGATTTTGCAAGCCCAATGAGGCCCAACTCTATGATAATAACTTTTTGATCGTTTCGTTATGCATATTTTAAGGGAATATTATGTGGGAGGTTGTTATCGAATTTGTATTCTCTCCATACCATCTCCCAACATATCTCTCAATACTTAATCATATTCATTCATTTAATTATTTATTCAATTTAATAATGTTGGATTTCAAATAACGGCATTAAAATAAATATAATATTCATTTAATGATTATCATAAATAAGTATCATAAACTTATTTTCAAAAGTATTTAAGAGATAATAGTGAGTAATTTATTTATTTTATTTTCATAATTAACAATCTAACATTATAAAATTAAATGAATGGATGGGATTGAGAATTGAGAATTGAGAAATGTATTGAGGGAGGGTACGGAGAGAATTCAAATCCAATTGTTAACTAAAATAAGTGCAATGAAAATGAATCATATTATTGAATAACATAAATCTTACCTGTGCAAATTCAAAATTTCTTATGTAATTAACGTATGATTTGTTTTTTAATTAGTTTCATATTGCCAATAATATTAAAATAGTTGAGAGAAAAATCAGACGTTGGGTAATGGTATTTTTTTTAAGAAAGCATTTAAGATAAAATTTGTCACATGATCAATGATCACTTGCATGTTCTAATCTTTAAACCTCGAGCTACCGCAGCAACTCACCTAAACTTATGCTTTGTTTAGATGGAAAGGAAAATAGAAGGGAAAGCTTCACTTCAATTATGTGGGAAAAATATCTTTTATATTTCCACCTAAAGAAAAATAATGAGAATAGATAATTATTATTGACTAATTACTTGATGTATTGTATATGTTTCATATTGAAATTTTCCTATAATAATAATAGTAATAATAATAGAGTTAAAAGAAAAAATACCTTAAAATTTTTTTAAAAGGAATACTTGATATTTTACTTTTTTTTATTGAAATAACGTCATCTCATAACTTTTTAAAAAGAGTATAATTTTACCCAATATTAAATATGAAAACGTTGACAGTTAAATTTTATAGTTGTGACAAAGATTGTGCGCGTGTCATATGCTGACTGATTTCCATCAGCCTTCCTATTTCCTTGCTTCCTTCCATATTCTTCTTCTTCTTCTTCTGTGATGCCTCCGATGAGCGTTGACCCATGGAGGAGATAGCCTTGGTGGTGCTGGAGACCCACAACCTTTCTCTTCTGGTCATAACTTCCAGGCCCTGGTTTCTGGGTATTATCTCATGCATCCTCCTCATCTTCCTCAACACATTCTTCACCTTTTACCAAAACATCCCAATTTAAATTTTATTAATCAATTTAGGTTAGCAGAAATTTTAAAAAATATTTAGAAGTAAATAAATTAAATAAAAAATAATTATTAAATTTAATTTATGATATAATTTTAAATTAAAATTTTTAAAAAATTGGTATTATTATTATAAGAAAAGGAATATAATTCAAAAGGAAAAGAAAAAGAAAGAGAAATTGATAAATGAAATATATATATATAAAAAGACGGAAGCCACAGATTTTATTTCGGGAAAAAGAGGGGTTCATGTTATTAATATATATAAAGATACATAAAGATGAAGCGGGAAAAGGCACGGGACCCGTACCATCAATGTATAATACGTAACAGTTCCAAAACATAATGCTCATGAAGTAAAATGGGGGTATTTATGGTATTTTTTAGAGAGCTGAAATTTGTCTTCCTCCACAGCTTGCAGAAAAGCAAAGGAAATAATGGGCATTTTTGGTGTTTTACTTGCTATGGGTGAAGTCACCTCAATATGTAAGATAAAGTAAGGATGCAAAGTTCTTATACCATTACACACTGTAAAGTAAATCTCCTATGTTTGGGAGTATTTGACGCTACCCACTGTCTGAATAGTGCAGCTCACTCTGACGTCTCCATTTGCTATTCTTCCTCTCTCTTGGCAAGATTCTCCTTAATTTACTCACCTTCCACCAACCCTTCGGTGTCCTTTTCTTTCAATCCGTCGAAAATGTCACTCTAAAATAGTTTTGGGACGAGCCTCCTGTACGATTGAATTTGTCTTGAAGTTGTTTTTCTATCTGCCCGTCGCCTGTTCCATCTTCTTCTCAAACTCATCTTAGAGTTATATCCTGCATTTTGAAAACTGGGTGAAGTTAATTTTCATTTATACAATCATTTAAAATATTTTATTGTTCATAGTCACTTAATATAATCAGTTCATGTCCTCATTTACTGGTATGTGATGTATTTTCTCTTGATTTATTTGCATGTTTTTTTACTTAGTTATTATAACAATTTCTGTCCTTATTTGTTGGTCTTATAGTTCAACACAATCTAACCGTACCCTTTGATTAGGACATCTATCAACTTTTTTTTTTTGGTATTTAATACAAAGGCCATATTTTTTTTTTTTTGCATTTAATCTTTCTTTGTTTTCCCTTCGTTCAACCCAGAATGGATGCCTATAACATTAATGCATTAGACAAGAACCATTTTGTTCTACTCAATAATTTTGATCGAACCAAGATAACCTAGCGTATACTTGTCAAAGTAGATTAGATGTATGCTAGCGTTGGTCAAGAAGTCTATGAGCTCGATCTTGGTTATTCGAAGCGAGCACGATCTATCAACATAATGGCATTCGATTTATAGGTGACAATACTTATGACTCTTTTTTTTGAAACATATATTAACTCATACTCTATTGCAACCTGAACTTTGCCTTACAGCACTCTATCTTTCTTTTTATCACTTAAGGATACTCGAATGGAAATGTTAATAGTTGGGCTAGAGATGATGGATTGATTTAGGAACATTTTTCTTTTAGATAAAACATACACCATTACAAACCTGGCGGTATGTGAAGGAGGTCAACCTATTCATAAGAAATATCATATTGAGTTGCTGCCTTCATCAAAAATACATGAACATTCCACAAATTTTTTCGGCCACAACTTCAAGTTGTCTTTAATTCGAGACTTAAGGATGAATAAATTCCCCACTTGCCATCTAATTGGTATGCCATTTTTAAATTTTGTTTAATCATAGTCATACTTTAATGGTTATATTTTTTGCTGCTGCAAATGTGGCTGGGTTATGTGTTCATGTTGGAGATCTACAATGGGAGAACTTGGAAGACCATGGGGAGCTCCTGACAAAGCAACTATGGATAGTTGTGCAAGACATAAAGTAAGATATAACTTAATATTTTAGTTCTATACTTTATGTTTTCTTTTCAAACTTTATTCTCAAACCATGATTAAGTTAATGTTTAATGGTTTCTCCACATACTTGAAATAGTATGCCAAAGGTAAGTTACTTATTATAAGATTTTGCTGTCCTTATTTTTTGGTATATCATGATACAACATCTTTTTCAAAAATTGTTATTAAAAGTTATAAATTTTTTTCATTACTTAACCAAAATACTTGCTTATTTCTTTTAATTTCCAACACTAATTTATTTTTCTTTTTGTGCCTCACAAAGTTGAAACATGATGAATTGAAACATGATGAATTTTCTAGAGAGTTGAAATTTGTCTTCCTCCACAGCTTACAAAAAAGCAAGGGAGATAATGGACATTTTTGGTGTTTTACTTGCTATGGGTGAAGTCACCTCAATATGTACGATAAAGTTTTTTTATTAGTATATTTTTAATCTAGAGGCATATCTAATGTTTTTAGATGAGAGAGAGAGAGACTTGATTTTCATGTAGATTTGATGCACTCTCCTTCAATCTAAACTCTGAAGTATGCCTGCAATGTCATGCGTGTCCTTGCCAATCTGTTATAAGATACCACAGATCATGTCCACCTTGGATGCTTTCGTGTGAATAATCATTATTTTTAATGTATGGGATTCTTTGGTGTGAATAATAATTTTGTGTGTGGGTAACTGTATATACATCTCTTAAAATTAAATGCCTAATAAACATTTCCAACACAGAAAGAGTAAGGAAATTAGTGTTTTAAAAACCAGACCGAATCAACGGGTTCAATTAGCTAAGCTAGGAATTAAATCTTAGTCCGCTTTAGTTGACTCCTCAAAATCGAGCACAAGACCACTGGAAAAAATAAAATTAGTGATGAACAAATCCATCATTAATAAGCCAAATTCTTCACTAATTTTAAATTTAGAAATTGATTGTCCGTTACTAATTTCTGTCACAAGTATAGTGTCACTAATTTAGTGACCGAAATAAATTCATCACTAATTTAGTAATCAAAATGAATCCATCACTAATTTAGTGACAAAAAATATATCATTAATTAATAAACTTCTATCATTAATTTATTTTATAATTAAAAAAATTTTGTGAGTTTAATCGCTGCCATGTCACCTCACAAGTACACATCACTCATCACCTGCCACGTCATCACCACTTGAACACAATCTATTTTAATTTTCTTTAAATGTGACACTGCCTCATCTTAAACTTAAGACCTCTCTCTTTTCAGAGGTATCTTTTGTCAATGGAGTTGTGATGACCTTTCATTCTTAATATGCAAAATTTAATATATATTATTCAATTGAATACATATATTTAACTTAAATGTATTTTTATATATATGTAATATATATTATTTAAATATGTTGATAATATATATTATCACAGACACACATTAACAAATAAATATATAATTCAATATTTATTATTAGTTAATAAATATATCATTTAATACCAAATGATATATATTATGAAAATAAATATTTGTATATATCATTTTACATTATCTATATTATAATTAAAATATTTTCTTATGGTAAAAATTTTATTTTATATTTAAATTAACATAATAAAATAAAAAAATATTTTTATTTTTATTTCATTTTATGTTACATATTTTGCTTATAATAAGAGAAAAATTGTTTATGTAATTAATCAATTTGATAATTTTGAAATTTTTTTATGTGAACCTCTCTATGTATATTATAAATTATTTATTTTTATAAAATATTTAAGATTATTTTACTAATTTTTAATTAAATATATTATTCACTAATATAAAGATTTAGTGATGGATTTAAATTGGCCATTAAATTTATAAATTTGATCAAAATATAACGATATCATTTATCCATCACTAATCCATCACTAATTTACTGAAATTAGTGACAAATTTTAGTTCGATACAAAATTTCCATCACTAATACATATAAGTAGTGATGAATTAAAGATATGTCACTAAATGTCTGTAACATTTTAAAAATTATCTCCTTAATTAATTAAGCTAATAAAGAGTAAATATATAAATTTAAATATAAATGAGTTTGAGGATAGTTATGGATAGCTATTGGGTTTGGATTTAGCCTTTAGATTAAGTCCAAAAGTGAATTGGGTCACTTAAGCTCAAATTATAGAAAGAAAAATTAAATCTGTGCCTACTGAGCATTATGCTATAGTATAAAAATTTATGCTGCAGTATAATTTTCAAAATCATCTTTTTTTAAAAATGAAAAAATAATTTAAAAACAGAGGGAAACACAAAAAACAAAGAGGGGGATGAAGAGAGTAGTTGCTATGATAGAGCATGAATTTTTGGACATTTTGAAGGTGATTAGAGCTTAATTTCACCTAAAAATGCCTTTCTTATCTCTCTTTTTCTCTCTGCACATTTTAGAAGTGAGATTTGAGGTTAATGGATGATAATTTTCAAACTTAGGACTATGAGTCTAAACTCATCAATCTAAATAGACTAATGAAATTTGTTTAAGTTGTTGAAACTTAGCTTTGATAAGTTTGAGCATCTTTAATCTTGGGCTCATTATTATGGATGAAATTATGCTCTAAAGTGCCGTAAATGGTGGTACTTAAAGTAGATGGCTACCATTGATGTTGATTAAGGATTGTGTTAGTATTAGTTCAAGCTAATGGGAGCTAATAAACCTAATATGATAATTAAATTCAAGAATTGAGAGTTTGGGTTATTAAAGTGTTTAAATTTGAGAGTTGAAAGTAAGTAATTTATGATTGATAATGATTTTGAATTATTAGATGATATACTAGTGAGTGTTTAAGTTCTTGAGGGTTGAATGAAGTTAATAAGAGTTAATAAACTCATTTGGTGTGAGGTTGATCTTGTAGTTGAGAAATTTAGTTATTAAAGTATGAAATTAGATGTTGGAAGTAATGATTTTGATAATTATTAGTGATATGTGTTAATGTTAATTGTAGACTAACTTTGTGAAGAACCAATGAGCTTGATTTTAGCTTGGAAAGCAAGTTGTGATTGAGAGGTAACTTTTGACCTTTCAAAGTTTAAGATAATCAGGAAAAATTTAGCTTGTGCATTTACTTGATTAATTAATTATATATGAAAAAGACTTATTTGAAAATCTTGATATATTGTAAAATTATATTTGATGCAAGTTATGAAAATATAAATAAGTTTATATGATGTGATGAAATTGATGTGAATGACATTTATATGTATATATAATTATTGTTATGAGTAGATATTAAAGTGTATGAGAATCCATATGAAAAGGAGAGATTGTGAATTGATGTACATGTTGAGTATGTTATGATGAAAATGATAATTGTGATTTACATGCTATTGACGAATGTGAACATACATGTTACTTGTTGAGTAATTATGCATAATCATATGAGACAAGAGTTAACCTATAGGGAGGGGAGTAGATGTTATAAATTCACATAGTATTAGCAACTTTTGTTAGAATTGAAAGTTAGCTGCCTATTAGAATCGGAAGGTAGCTTTTGTCCTATGATTGTTAAGGGATTGTCCCATTTATTCTTCGAGAAACTTAAATCTAAGTAGTCTCTATTTGTTTATAAGAAAGCTAGATTAAGGACACGACACCTTATAGTTATTAGTATTGGAGAAAACTGTGTTGCACAAGCGAGTGTAGTAGCCTTAGTTAAGTAGCTCCTCATGAGTGAAAGGTTTGAAAAGTTCGAGTTTATAGACATAGCCTATTAAATAGCCACCAGTTTTATATTAAAGGTATTAAGAGAGTATAAAGTTAGCATTAATCATGTATATCATATTCCAACCACATGGTTGTTGTTATTATAGTCTGGCATAATTTGATAAGGGCACATGGTTGTTAGTATTATGACCCTATATGTATTTTGCTGCATATTATTATATGACCATAAGGTTGTTATTCTTGTGGTATTGCATGTCTTACGAAGGGCACATGTTATTGTTGTTGTGACCTTTGTATGCTAAGCAATCTAATGTTATATGATTGTTAGTTTTGTAACTATATGAATTGGGTGGTTTAATATGTGAATATGTTTTGTTTGAGTATGCCACTTGCATCATTATAATTAATTAATATGCATTTGTATAAGCTGGATTAATCTTAGTTACAAGTGATTGTACTTACCCCTCATTTAATATTTTACAGGCATTAGCTTTAGTCAGAACAAGAGAAAGACTTATGAGGTTCAGGAATCAAATTTTCTACTGTAATGCTTCAATTACTTTTAATTAATGTGTAATTATCATGATATTGCTAATTAGGATGTTTATATTTTGTTATACTTACACCATTAAACATTGAGTATTAAATATGTATTTTGGGCCCTAGTGTATGTGGTATCTTTTTAGTTGAGATGTTTGTACAAGAGCAAAATACTTGTACAAGTAAAGAGTGAGTATATTTGTGAATGATGGTGATTTAGATATGGAATTAAATAATTTGGCTTCCCCTTATGTTTTTGTGATTAAGGGGCTGAGTAGTGAAAATGTGATATGTATATTGTTTGATTGTTGTGGTATATTGAACGAGTTTGTTATAGTCCATTGAGTGTGGTCTAAGGGTTGGTGTGGGTTTTTAACACTTGGATTGAGTTTTGGACATCCTAATTATGTTTTAAAAGCATAAGTGAGTGAGTTTGTATTTTGGTGTCAAACTTTTGATTGAGAAATGATTTGAATGTAAAAGCAATGCCATTAGCTAGAGTTTAGAGAAATCTTTCTGTATATACTTAAATCACCTTAATCAGACATCAAATGGAGAATTGAGGCGTGTTGAAAGTTCAACTAGAAAATCTGCCACGACAACTTGTAGGTTTTGCAGTTTATGCTACAGTATAAAATTTTATGTTGTAGCATAATTGTGCTAAAATCAATTTTTGTTATATTGATTCTAATTTGATGTTATCTTGTCTTATATGATATCCATGCTTTTATATACACGTTTTGCTTTGATTTTGATTTTTTAATGATTTTATAGCATTTTAAATTTTAAAAATTTAAAATCTCATTTATGTAAATTTAACAAACTTGGTAATCCATTTAGGTTACTTTTGTGATTATTTTAAATTTTAAAGTTAATTGTAGATTAGTTAGAGCAACCTTACAATGTCTGTTACTAATTTTAATTTTTCTAATGGTGAAGGAAAGTGGGCAACGACAAAAAAAAAAAAATCGATCAAAACTGGAAAACTGGTTGAAAATCAAACCAATTTCCTTAAAAAAAAATAGACTAAATTAATTAAAAATTTAAAAGAAATAATTTAAAAATTAATATTAAAATTTAAAATTAATTAAAACAAAAGAACAGCCAAGCATAATTAATAAGGTTAAAGGGTAAATTTATTTTAAAATTTTTTTACCAAGTGTGCATGACATTCTAAACTTTTTATTAGACAATATTACCTTTTAACTTAAAAAAAAAAGAGCGTAATGTTGCCCAAATCTAACCCTATAAAAACGTTGACCGTTAAAATCACGTTTTTTGACTGATAAATTTACAAGTGGCAAGTGAAGGAAGTGACTGGACTCCACATGTCATCTTTCCCATACACACGACCTTTTCTCTTGTTTTCATCTTTTCCTCGTCCTTCTTCATCCAGACTCTCCATCACCATGGCCGTGCTCGTCCTTAGATCTCCGATGGAGGAGGATTTTGACTCTTGCCCTTACTTCTTTTGCTCTGACTCCTCCCCCTCCTTCCCCCACTCTCCTTACTCTCACCAGCATCGACCCATAATGGAGTCCCCCGTCCTTCTGCTTTGACGCTGCGCTGTCGGTGCCAAGTGTGGACGTGGTGGTGTTTCTCCTGAAGGTAAGATCCGTACTTCTTGGTTGGCGTTGCTCCTCTGTCGACAACTCTACCTTCACTCTGCCCGGTGGCCACCTGGAGTTTGGTCACTCTCATTCCCCTTTTCTCTTATTCTCGACGATCGTACCCATTTGTTTCGTGGGAAATTTGAATGTTCTTTCTTCGGTTTTAGGAAAGAGCTTCGAGGAATGTGTAATTAGAGAAGTGAAAGAGGAGACGAGGCTGGAGATCGCGAAAACGGAGCTGTCGAAATTTGTCAGCAAAGGTTTCAAGCCATTCCCTCACTGATTAAATGTTATCATCATTGTTAATGATGATTAGTTTATCTCCGATTCTGGTTCACCACTACTGATGATTGTGAGGCTTATTATTTGGTCATCTAAATATTGTTTGAATTTAAAGGAACGAACGCTCTCTTCACTAATAAAAAATATACGATTAATTATAATAAAAATATCTTTGTACAATTTTGACCATTCATTCATTCATTTCTCCCCTTTGAGAATGACATGGAGTAGGTGAGTTGGATCTGCTTCCACTCACGCTTCCATTACAAGACACTGTAGAATTGGCAGATTTATTATTATCCGGCGGTGACCTAGGAGATCTCAGAGGGTGGTGTCTACGGTGCCTTGGTTGCACCTATTTCAGAATATTGGCCTTCAAGTCTTGGGTCTATGATTCTGCCGAGCTTCCTCGAGCCGCGAAGCATCGACCTTGCTTATTTTTAGAGTTGGAAAATAAGGGGATACTCTTAAACTCAGTTTCCTTAAAATATTTTATTTTTTAAAAACCTGACTTTTATATAAAAGGTTTAAGTTTAAATCCATAAGTTTTTATTATAATTTTTTTTATTTTTTAAAATTTTTAAAAATTAAAATTTTTAATTATAATATTTCATATATTTTTTAAAAAAATTTTTAATGTTTAAAAATTAAAAATAAATAATAAAATTTTTAATTTTAAAATATAAACATATATTTTAAAATTTAAATTTAATTTAAAAGAAGGATCTAAAAGGACTGTTCAAGCTCTTTTTTAAGGTCTATTAAAGTCGAGTTTGAAAGCCTAATTTTTTAAAAAAATATTATTTTTTTTAATTTAAACCTTTATAAAAATGAGTATAAATGGATGACCCTCCAAATGTAACTTTTATTTCTGGCTCTATTTATTTCTTGTGTCCACGGCCGACCCAGGTGGTTCTGCTGTGACTAGTCAGCGTTTCAACAGCTATTGCAGCCGCCGCGGGACGATGCTGTTTTGCAAGTGAAAGATGGGTGGTTTCTCTACAGCAGCTGCAAGTTGGGAAAAAAATAAAAAATCAACGTGGATCCCACGTTGCGTCCCACTCAACAAATATATCTCGCTACATGTGATTTTCTTGGTCAACACAGGAAATTTAGCAGTAGACGTGCATAGGAGTCAACGGTAGGATAAAATTACTCTTCTTTTTTAAAAAAAAATTGAAGAACAATATTCTTTAACAAAAAATTTAAGATATCAAGAGTGTCAGGTAAAAAAATTTAAGAATCATATATTAATTAACAATAAATTATTTTACTGAACAAGTATTAATATTTTTAAAAAATACATAAATATTTGCATGTATTTCTTATTTAATTATAATATATAAATTAAAAATATATTAATTTAATATAAACTGATTAGATCACGGTTGAATTAATGAATTGTTGCTTAATTAGTTTAATGATTGGTTTGATTTTTAAAACTTTAAAAAAATTTTACACGTATTTCTATTATTTATCGCTGTCTCTTTTACTTCGGAATCATTTTAAAAAAAAAAATCACATCTCTTTTGTTTTGTTTTCCATCATAATACATCCAAAGTTAAACATGACGATGTGTCAAGTGTCGATGAGTCTCTGCAGACCAGGTCAAAAGTACATCACTGCGCTCGTTCCACGTCATGGGCCTTATAGTGGGCCCATGGATCAAGCTGCTGCGTGCGAGTCCAAACAGTAATCGAGGTCGCGTGGTGTTGTTGTAAGCCCAAAGAGGCCCATGAGGCCCAAGCATCAGGACGATAGGTTGATTGGTGGAGGATAAAAGGAGTATTCAGGGTAACGTCGCTATCTGGAATAAATGTAATGAAAACGGACCATATAATGTGGGGTTTTGTGGGTTCTCTCTTTCTTTGTCGAATTGTCATGACGCGTTTAACTTAAACTAATCTTTTTTTTTTTTTCTTAAAGGACAAGAACGTGATTCTAGTTTCCAGGACAATAAGTGGATTTTACATTACTCAAGAACAAATAAAACTATTATAGCTAGTCTCTTGTCAAGAATTCATCCGGCAAGTAACGATTGGGATGATAACATTTTAGAAAATTTTAAAAGCTAACAATTGACAATAGAAGTGTTCAACTTACACCTATCTTAATGGTTTGATTCCATTTTAATCATATCAAAATGGGTATTATCTCGGCTTGAAAATAATTGAGACAAGACGGAAAATAGGTTCGGAATGAGATAAGATACGGGATTGCCATCTGAGCATCATGTCTTGAATATTATTTTTTCTTTTAAAATATACTTTAAATATATTAATTATATTAATATAATTTATGCTTATATTAATTATATTAATTAAATTATAATTTAAAACAAAATTTTTATATTAATAATTTTAATAATATAAAGTAAGCAATGCATGATGATATCTTTCTTTATACTATATTAATTATATTAATAAAAAATATTTTTATATCTATCTATTTAATAATTTTTATTTGCATTGTATTTCTTGCTTTATTTTTTAAAAAGTAATTAGCTTAATACATCTTAAGTAAATAAAAAGAACAATGATTTGGTATTGTATCAGGCTTGTTTATTGTTACTGCTATCATAGCCTAAACATTATTGGTAACTACTATCATAATGTGTTATACACTTTGTAGTTGTGATTAATATAATTCAATAATTAATTTTAAATTATTGTAATTTATTTACTCATGTTGTTCTAATTTTAATCTTAATAAATTATGTGATTTAAATTTTAATGAGTGTTATTATCTAGATCTATCTCCCACATTGTTTGCTTTATTGGGACAGCGAGACATCCCAATTCCCAATAGGAAGGGACAAGTTTAGGGATAAAACGGATCACAAGGCAAAAATTTAGTTTTAATTTTTTTTAAGACATGACACGAGATAAGGGTGTATCGAGTCATCTCATCCCATGAACACCCTTAATTGACAAGGAGCCGAGAAAAGAAGACAAAGAGGGGAACAATTTTGATGTGGCTTTGATTTTTCAAAGGAGAATCACAATTAAGTTATGACCCAAAAAAATTACAATTACATTCTAAAAGAGAAAATTAATAATATGTTTATTTTCAATAAATTTCTTAAAACTAAGTTATAAATATTGATTTTAATAATTGTAAATTTAAACATTTTAATTGCACATACAACATTTAAGTTTTAACTATGATGTTTAATTTATCATTGAGATTTTTATTGATAGTTGTCTAAGTTCATATATACAGCTTATTTTTAAAAAAAATTAACAAGAATTTAACAATTGTTAATTTATTCTCTTGATATTTTCATATCATTTTTCCTTGCTTTTAGTGCCTCCGTTTGGTAGTTCCCTTTCCGCTTTGTTAAATTACAGCAACATCCTCTTTTTAATTTTTAAAACCTGCACTTCAATTATAAGTTTTTCTTTAGAAAAAAAGTATAACAGGATTTTGTGCGGGCATATTATAAAGAAGTCTTTTTTTCCACTCTCCCAAGTCTCTTTGCTTTTTTTTTTTTTTAAAGCACTTCCTTATCGTATTTATAAAATTTTACCCTTGATATTTGATACAAGGTTATTTTCAAGATTTAATAAAAATATATATAAATTTAAAAAATCCTCTTGTATCTTTCACTCTTCGTTTAGCAAATGGCTTTTCCATTTCCTCCTAACATAATTTTGAAATGTTGTCAAAATTGTTTACATTTTACTTATCTTAACGTAATTTTACAATATTATAAAAATAAGTATTAATAAAGATTGATACAGTTGATAATGATTTGGTCTATAATCTAATAAGTTGTGGGATTAAATCTTATCACTTATGTGAGAAATTTGTTGATGGATAATATATAAGTATTTTTTTAAGCACTTCTTAAATCTAGAGACTTGTTCGACTAATTTACCTAATTTTTTATTATAAAAAAATAATCTTGTAAAAGTAGTTTATAAGACTTGTATTAAATAAAGGAAAAATAGTTAACAGGAGCATGAAATAGTTTCAAAGAAGGTAAGTCCTATATAATAAAGATTAAATTCATATGGCGTCCTTAGTCAACTGGATGGGTAAGAATGTCGAAAGGATATGAAGAATGATAGTAAAATTTTAAAAGTTAAATTAAGGATAATTAGAGTTTTGACAAATTTATTTATAAAAAAAAATGAAATGTTCACATTGTTGCAAACAGAAATCAAAGTTACAATTGAATCATAAATGCGTAATTTATAATTAAAACTCTTACATTTATAATAATATGAATTGATATTTTAATCATTTTAAAAAATTATCAAAAATATAATTATCATTACTTCAATATTTTGAATTGATATTACATGGGTTGAGAGAGAGACATGAGTGTAGGATGAAAATATCTGAGCTAACCCCCCCGGTTATACTAGTAAATCATTAAATTAATATTTTAACTAATTTAATAAAATGAAAAATTTATATACTTAACCTTAGCTATGTAGATTTATCATATATTCTCTCTGTTAAAAAATATGAGATATTTTTTGAGAAATTGAATGTAAAAAAATGTAAGACATTTTTTGAGGAGTTGAAGGTTAAAAAATGTAATACATTTTTAATCTTTTGAAGTGTAATTATTGTCTTTTTTTAAGTGCCCATATTGATAATAACTTTATATTTATTATAAAATATTTAATAGGGGTGAATATAAAAAGATAAGGTTAGTTGAAAAGTAGGTAACTATTTTATTGAAAAATGAGATTCGGTTAAAAATACTTTACATTTTTAAACAAGAGAGTATTATTTATTCTATAACAAACTCTTGTTATTAATATTATCAATATTAAAATTCACTTGTTTTTATTTAATTGGGTAAAAGTACATTAATTATATAAGATTAAATGCATACTAAGTCTTACCCTTTAATAAAATACTTTACTTATGACCGATTTGATCACAATTTAATTATAATTTTAATTATTAATCTTTAAATCAGTATTCACTTTGGACTATAATATAAAATATATTTTAAAAATCTTACTTGATCCAAAATATAGATTTGGATAATTTTTATATTTGTGTTTCTGACTATATTACTTCTTTATTTATTACTCTTTTTTTAAAAAAATTATATATTAAATTTTAATTATTATTATCAATTTTTTTAAAATATTTAATAAGAATATAAATGAAAAGATGTTGATATTTTTTAAAATTTAAAATTTTAACTATTATTATTTATAAATTATAAATTAATTAATTATAACTAATGTTATATTTCATAAAAATGTTTTGACTAGTTCAATAATTTTATCGGATATTTTTTTTTATCATAAGACTACAGTAAAAGCGTGTAAAGAAATTAAGATTTAATTATATTTAAAATTATAAGGATATTACAGTCACGCAGCGGAACATCCAAAATCGTGATTTGAGGGATGAATGAATCTCAAAACATCAATGCCCTGCCCTGATCAGACCTTCTCTCCCACTCCCTCGAACTCGCAGAACAAAAAGGACCAATCAAATTGCTCCGACGGTGCTTCCCCTCCATGTCGGCAACCCCTGGTGGACCCCTCGTCAACGCCTTTTACTAATTTCTTTATCCAAACGAGCCAACCCTCCGAGTTAACGGAGGAATGACAGGTAATATTAAATTTTAAAAATTTATAACTTACATTTTTAATTTTATAATCTCATTATAATAAATTTATAATTTATATTTTAAATTTTAATAAAAAATAAATATTAAAATTTAACAAGTTGAATTAATTAATTTTTTTAAACTTGTCTGTCACACTCCCAAAAAAATAATGAGTCCTCACCTAATGTCATTTTATATTTATTCACTTTGAAATGATTTTCTCTAACACTGCTTTATTCAACTCATGCAATGACAAATAGAGTTCAAAAATGGGCCAACTCGACCTTAAAGGGTTAGCCTTTGACAGGCTCGAGTCTAAAAAGGTCAGGCTTAAAAAACCTGTTTTTTTTTTTGAGGTATCAAATTACGGGACCCGACTTTTGAGATAGTTGGCTCAAGGTCCGCCCTGCAGGCTTCAAGCCCTATTATTTTTTATTTTTTATTAAATTTTTTATCAAATTAAATATTAATATTTTATTTCATTACACAACTCGAAAATCTCATGCCAATATATAAATCAAGAGTATGACCATATCAATAAATAAAATCACAGCAATCAAAATAAAACAACTAAATAAAGCATAAACACAAACAAAGTGATAGCATCATAATGACCAAATGAGATAAACCATGGACACAAGTTTGACTAAGAGCAAAACTGAGAATAAGAAAAGAACAAGTAAAAGAAAATCAGACTATAGTTCTATTTGAGCAAGAGGAGGACTTAAAGATGCTATCATTTAAGTCTTTAAGCTTGGTGAAGCACTGTCACAAACGAAAGAGCACAATGAAACATGGTCGCAGATAGAGGAGCACTGTTGGGAGTTGGGAGATGCTATCAATAAAGAGGAATGATGAGAGACGAGCACAACTTATATGAATAAGAGATAAATTGTAGAAGGGCAAAATCGGTGAAATGTAGTTTGGAGAGTTAAGTTAGGAAAATTTAAAGTTAGTTGTTATTTTTTTTAATGTTTTTTTCTTCCTTGCATGTACAAATAGATCATGCTTAAATTTTTTTTTAAATTCAAGTGTTTATTAAAAATTAATTATTTAAATAAAAAAATATTTAAATATAAAAAAAAGTCATGCGAGCTTAAATAGGCTGACATTCGATCCTTTAAGCTAACCTATTTATTTTTAAATTCATTAAAGTCAATTTCATTTAAACTCGAATTACATTTAAAGGGTGGTAGTTGCAAGCCCGACTCCCTAATTAAACGGGGACCCGGTCCAATGAGCTGGGCCTGTATTGAAGAATACTTGCTTCTATTACTTTAGTCCTGAGGTTCTGTTTTGTGAGTCAATATGTCGGCGACTGTGAAACTGAAAGACGCAGTTAGTTACTGTTAAAAAACGACGTTGTTCACCCAATATAAGACAAACACGACGCGGCAACAGCTTTTTAATTAAGAAGGATCCGTCCAGTGGGAATAGGGTTCACAAATACCAGAAGTTCAAGGGCCAATAAATGCGATTTTCAATATTAAAATTACTGCGAAAGCAAGCTAACTGATGACACTGCATCACTGGATTCAAGCTGGTCCTCATGGTCATGGATTCCCATACTCTTTCCCCATTTTTCTAATGTTTCTCTCTCACACTCACCCACGTGCTCTTCCTTATAAGTTGCCGTTTCACTCCACACCCATTCTCTAGATCAGCTTGCTACTTAGATTCCCATTTCGATTTCTGAAATGCTTTGATTCTGATACTGACTCGCACGCCGTTTCATCACTGGTCAATTCGTCGATATGGACAAGTACGAGACCGTGAAGGATTTGGGGGCTGGCAACTTTGGGGTGGCCAGGCTCATGAGGAACAAGGAAACCAAGGAACTCGTCGCCATGAAATACATCGAGCGTGGCCACAAGGTTTGCTTTTTTTTTTTTTGGCCCCCATTCTTATGCAAGATTTCTGTCTGAGAACTAATCAAGTGCTTTAGAAATACTGCAAATTTCGGATTTACTGGAAGTTGCGTTTTGCGTTTCCTTCACAATTCTTGGGAGCAATTTCAGACTAGAAGAAAGGATTCAAGCTTCTTTCCTTTGTGTCTTGGTTGCTAATGTTAATTATTAAATGTCTCTATTTGACTTCTATGATTCTCACCACTTTCTATGACAATTCCAGATTGACGAGAATGTCGCAAGAGAGATTATAAACCACAGGTCCCTGCGACACCCCAATATAATCCGCTTTAAGGAGGCAAGCAATTTATTATTTGCTTTTTAGTTCAATCATCGCTGGGTGCGACATTTGATTTGATTAACTCTAATTTCCATGGGTTCTGATTTTTCAGGTGGTTTTGACCCCCACCCATTTGGCTATAGTGATGGAGTATGCAGCTGGAGGGGAGCTCTTTGAAAGGATCTGTACTGCTGGCAGGTTCAGTGAAGATGAGGTGAATTATTTCAGACTTTCTTGATTCCAATGTTATTACTATTACTATTACTACTCCTATTGTTGCCATACTCATTTTATTTCCTTTGTTTCTTCAGGCTAGATATTTCTTTCAGCAGCTGATCTCTGGTGTGAGTTTCTGTCATGCCATGGTATGATCATACTCAAGTGTCTGAGAATTCATGGAAACTACTCTCATATTTTCTCAAAGTAACACCATGTTAACTTATGCTTTGACCTTCGTTTCAGCAAATATGCCACAGAGATTTGAAGCTGGAAAATACTCTTCTAGATGGAAGCCCTGCACCTCGCTTGAAGATTTGTGACTTTGGTTATTCCAAGGTATCGCAATTAATATCATCACAATTGAAAGGTTAAATAATAACTTGGCCAGGGTTATAGTTATTGGACTTCTTGTTATTTGTGGTGTAGTCATCTTTGCTGCATTCACGACCCAAATCAACTGTTGGAACTCCTGCTTATATAGCACCTGAAGTCCTTTCCAGGAGGGAGTATGATGGCAAGGTAAGATATAGATCTATGGGAGCTTTATCTAGATTTGGTTATTTAGATTTCCTAGTTTATCAATTAATTATCACTAGTTTGCTATATTGTTTCTCTTATAAGGCAACTCAGAAAGTAGATTTTGATGATCCTAGTTGCTGGATGCATCCAATCTGATGCATAAGTGATATGTTCATTTTTCAATCATAATGTTATAACTTATAAGCTACTTCTTTAAATTCAATGATTATGTTTTTCTCTGTTTGCCATTGTTTAGTTGGCTGATGTATGGTCATGTGGGGTGACTCTCTATGTCATGTTGGTTGGAGCATATCCATTTGAGGACCATGCAGACCCCAGGAATTTCAGAAAAACAATTCAGGTATGTTATGTTATCCTTATTGATGCTGATTTTTGAATTGTTGCACATGTAATTTTCACATAATTCTTATCCCCTTTTTCTGTCCTATTCTGCAGCGCATAATGGCTGTCCAATACAAAATCCCTGATTACGTCCACATATCTCAAGATTGCAGACACCTCCTTTCTCGTATATTTGTTGCAAATCCATTGAAGGTATGTTCTGATTTTTGAAGTGACTTGATTTTTGCTGTTATGCCAGTTGTGCTAAACTGTCATGCTATTTCAAATGGACTCTATTTTCTTGCCAATCAATTATGGGCCTTCATAAAAGTGAATAGAAAATAACTGAGAAAAATTGGTTGTAAAACAAGCCTCACTGTTGTTGGATATTTATATTAAGGGTAAAAGGCAACAACGAACCCCACACTTAGGTTCCTTAATTTTTTTTTCCCTTAAAAAAAAAAAAATTGGATAGAAACTTGGGGCCTATTTGGCAACTTGTTTTGAGAACAGTTTTTTGTTCTCCAAAATAAAAGAATAAAAAAATTTGTTTGTTAATGTGTTTTTAAAAAGCTTTTCGGAGAATAAAAAAACAAAATATTGTTCTGGAGAATAGAAAAATAAAAACAACTTTTAAATATTCTGGAATTATTGTCTTAAAAAATAAGGGAGAATGAGAAAAAACACTTATTTTTATTATTATTATTTTTTTATTCTTAGAACATGTTTTACAAAACACAAGTTCTCTGAACAATAAAATAAAAACAGTTTCTTAGCTTGTCTATCTTGTTCATCTTCATCATCTAGTCCACTTTCATAAACTTGATAGGATACTTGAACCTTTGCTCCTCTTTCTGCGCTACTGTAAAACATCGGATTTTGGTCCTTCTTGTCATCGATTTCCATTTTCCCTTGCCTTATCAATGTATAAAATGTCACTGTCCAATTCTATCTTTGAATAGTGAGTGATATTCAAGGTAGGCGGTTGGCGTCTTCTGAAATTTGGGTTCCATGTAGGCTCTTCAGAGTACATTTGCTGGCTACTGGTTATATGTCTAACTTTAACATTCAAGGAATTGGCTGAAAACCTTATGTTTCATTTTGTGCTCAACAGTCAATGTAATCATATAGTTTTCACATATCTACATCTCCACCAGGTTGCAGCCAATATTATGTCCTGCTTTATGCAGCTATATTTAAAATGTGATTGTTGTAGAACAAAGATGCTATAGAAAATTTCAATGCTCTGCATGTGGGATTACTCATCAAGATCTTGTTTCTATGGAGCTAATTGTCGGGGAATTTTCTTTACAGAGAATAACTCTCATGGAGATCAAGAACCACCCATGGTTTTTAAAGAACCTTCCAAGGGAGCTGACTGAATCGGCTCAAGCTATCTATTATCAGAGAGACAATCCAAGCTTTTCTGTTCAAAGTGTGGAGGGGATAATGAAAATTGTGGGAGAAGCTAGAAACCCACCTCCAGTGTCTAGACCTATTAAAGGTTTTGGCTGGGAAGGTGAAGAAGGTGAAGGAGATGATGAGGAAGCTGAGGTGGAGGAAGAGGAGGATGAAGAAGATGAATATGACAAAAGGGTCAAAGAGGCTCATGCCAGTGGAGAATTTCAAGTCAGTTAAGCAGTATGACTCTTGTTTACTTGTTGATTTTTTTCTTTAAAACAAAAAAAATTAGTCACCTATTATTGTGTAACATAATTAATGACTGCTATCAACTGGCGAGGTTTCTAACTTTATAGTCTTGTTCATATGTTGTGCTCCTTGTATCATCAAGAACTCCATGTATGCGAACAATAGTTGTCTGATTACATCCTAGATTACTCAATCCCTTTTTTAACTGGGCACCTCAAATTTCTCGTTTCTTTGTCGCCACTCCATAGATCAGATTCATAATGATTATAAAGTCTTGTATGGAAATATCAGATGCTAATCTCTTATTTCCAGAATTGGATCTGTGATGTACAAAAGAAAAAAAAATAATTTTCATACATAGTCTAATGTTGAATAAACTTGATATAGTTTTTATTGCGGAAATAGAAGAAGAGATTAATTATAAACTTGAGTTATCAAGGAGGACATTAGAGTTAAAAGATTTCAGCTTAAGTAGGAGTAAGATAGAGTATTTACATTGTATTTTAATAAGAGGTTTGTGAGTAGTAATTTGGAAGGAAATTGAGTAATTAAATTATACCTCAAGTAAAAAGTTTAAATATTTGAGAGCAATTATTCAACATAATGGGAAAATTGATGGAGATATTGCACATATGATACAAGTTGGGTGATTTAATTAGAAAAAGGTTGAAGGAGTTATTTGCAATCATAAAGTACCCAATAAACTTAAAGGAAAATTTTATTGAAATACTATAAGACTAACAATATTATATGGTAATAAATGTTGGGCTTTAACGAAACAGCAAAAGTATAAAGTTGGATTAGCAGAAATGAAAATATTGAAATGGATGTGTGAACATACACGTAAAGATAAAATTTGAAGTGAGCGCATATGATAAAAAGTGAGTATCGCATATATTGAAGGAAAAATGATAAAAAAATCATTTGAGATGGTTTAAATATGTACAATGAAGGCCACGTGAGGCACTTGTGAGAAGAGTGAAATATATAACTTTGAGCTCTGTCAAAAAAGGTAAAGGACGATTAAAGAGAATACTTTGAAAAGTTGTTGATCAAGATTTCTTAATTAATAATATTTCTAAAAGCTTGATAAATGATAAAGTACAATAACGTCGTATAATTCATGTCGCTAACCCCATCTAGTGAGATGAGGTTTGTTGTTATTGTGATGTTGAGTGACGTACATACACCAAACTAGTGAAATATTGATACAGAGACATGTAAGTGTAATAGGTCACATCCAATTCATATTGACTAGGTATACACACTTTACCTACAAAATAATTTTTCAATTCTAAACCAAAAGATAAACTATGTTTTAATTATGAAGGTATCAGTCATTACAGTTCCTGTATGAAACAAAATCTTGGGGAGCACATGGTGCAAAATGCTTCTGTCAATTTGGTGTTACTGATGCTGAATTTGGACATTCAACCTCCTGAGCCATACAGAATGAACAGTCATATGGAAGACATCAAATCTCTTTGGGGGGTCATTGGGCACAAAATGTCTCTGCACCTGTTTTACTCTTCTCTGCATTCTCAGATACTGCCTCTGAGAAATTCCCGTGAGTATCTTCTTTATGTTGGCTATGTCCTTTACGTCTATCTGCACTGAAAATGACCTCCAATTCAAAACATCACTGAAGGGTGGCACATAGCTATCTGAAATCAAAACAGGCACACATTCTGCAAATATGGCTTCCACTACTCTGGGGCTTGCTACCTCATACCCACTCGGACACAGGCAGAATCTGCTACTTCTAAGCATATTGTAGTAAGACGCACCCTTGGGAAGTTCATCATAGACCTGCACATCTTGGTCTCTGTCTTTCCATTGCTGGAGAAGTAGGTACCTTATATGGCCATGGAGGCGACCTGCAAAGAAAGCGAGGATGTTCCTACGAGATGGAGAGTAGCCTCCTAATAGTCCCGTGATTTCCCCTGTTTCAAGATTAATTTCAGGGAGTGAAACATCCTTCGCAGGGTTGAATCCTTCTGACGTATTTGCATTGCACAGAACCCTTATGGAGTTGTAGAACAATTGAGGTACGCGAGAAGATGTACTTGGCCCCTGTGAAAAGTTGCCAAAGATTTCATTATAAGTCAACCAGATATACACTTGGAATTCAGAGTAGACAAAAGTCATAATTTTGGACGACAATTAAGGATCGACAAGCACAAATTACACAGATTCGCAACAATATTATGAGTTATCGAAGAAGGTCCACAGAGAGAGTTTTTTTTTTACCCAGTCATGGCAGGAGAGCATGAAATGATCAAGTCCCATGCTTCGATTCCAGAAAGGGTATTTATCGGATATAGTCTGTACGTAGTCGATCACAGAGAGGCCGATGGAATTGGTATCGCCGGAGGGTGTAAAAAGATGTGCCACCATCATAACCACACTGAATGGCAAGAAATAGACAAAAGCTTCATCTGGATCAATCAGTACGATAATACTTGCCCTTTTCAATTTCGTGTATGAATCTTCCTTCTGTGGAGTATATGCTTTTGCATGGTCCATCATGGAACAACGGAGGATCCCCTTCCTCGTACACAAATATCTTGAACATCTTCTCCATCTTCAGGTAACTCCTGTGCAGACTTTATCATGATTAATCAATAGTCACGGTATTGTGTTCGAGGCTTTCATGTGAAGAAGAGTTTAATTTGTACCTGTGAAAAGCATTGGGGTTTCTGTAAACCGGGCCTTGAGGAACGTAGTCTGGGTCTTGGTGGGTTGATGTGAAGTTTCGAACTTTGCTAGCTTCTCTAATGGAAGATCTCACTTGGGCCAATCTTGCTTGAATCTTTTTCAGCTTCTTGTCCTTTTCATCAGTAACAATGCTCACTTCTTCTGTGCCTTTACGGTTCAATTCTTTGTCAAGCTTGTCACCTCCCTAAAGACCCACCAACAAAAAGAAGGATGAGAAAAAGTACCTCACAAATAAAGGAAGGATAAAAAAGAAGAAGAAGAATTTGAATATTGAAACAGTTCTGATGGAGTTCTCACAAAGTTCTTGTAAGTTGCCGTTTTTATTTGTACTGAACCAGATGAAACCTGAGCTTCTGATATCTCTGTGAAATCTGAAGTATTCAAAGAGGGTGGAGAGTACGGAGGTTTTTCTTCGTTTAAATAAGAGGATGCTGAGAAAATCCTCGTAGGAACAACGGCTAACGAGAAACTTGGGAAGAAACAACTCAAGAAAGCAAGAAATAATGAAGATGACAGTATGATGAACAGGACCACAGAATCAAAAGAGAAGGTTTGATTTTCAGAAACTCTCATGTTCAGTTCTTCACAGTATCTTTACCTATAGCCATCCTTTATTTAGTATTGAGCAGTGAGCTACGAAGTAGTATGGGGCTGCGATTCATTTCTTGGTGCCAAGAGATTCTTTCCTACATAGGCAGTTATTCTTAGATACCGAGACTTGTAATATGAGAGAAACAAAGATACTTCATGACAGTTTTAACAATTTTATTTAAGTATCGAGTTTACGTTTGTAATTGGAGTGGCTAATCTGTGAGGCCGGTTTAAAATGCTCGAACTTAGAAAAGATCTATACAATCAATTTCAACCTTAACACCTCAAGCCTCAAGTTCATTCGAGCTAATTAAAACATTTAAATTTTTAAATATTATTTTATTTCATTTTTTTAGTCAATTTCAATATTTATCTTAAAAAGTTAAGTTTTTCAATTTTTATTTAATTTTAATTTAATTTTATTTTGTATAAATTGGCCTATTGACTGAAAAACATATTATACTTAGAAAATATGGATAGAATTTTGGAAAATTTGAGAGTGTGACGTGTTCATATTGATGTATAAGAAGTTTATCATTAATATATAAAGAGTTTATTTTTAAAAATTTAAAAATTTATTAAGAGTTTATCATTGATATACAATAGTATGCATTAATAAATATAATAAACTGATTATAATATAATATAATAAATGTTATGTTGTTTGCTTAATTTGATTTTATAATATAAGTTATATCTGTAGAAGCTCTTTTTATTTTGGGCCTGGCTTGAACTTTTACAAGTTTATTTGGGTGACCGAATAAGCTATAATTTTTTTTTAAATTTTAAATTTGATTTAAAATTTTTTAAACTTATTTAAACTGACTTGTCATGCTAGATCCAAATTATAAGCTCTATTTGTAGTGTATGATACCCAACATTATATATTATTGCGTATCTCTCATAACTAGAACTTAGCCGGTGGTATGTTCGCGGGGACATTTATTTTGTTGTAATTTGTTTTTGATGAGTAATTTGATATATATAACTTACAGGTAACGAATGTGATTTTTCAGGACATTCATGGTTAAATATAATTTTTGTTGACTGGCAAATAAATATTATATATAATTTTTGTTGCATGAAATATAATATAATGAAGGAAGAATGAACAAAAATTTCAATCACAAATTGAGAACAATTGTAATATGAAAAAAAAATAGGATAACAGGGTCGTATTCATGCCATGTGTTCCTTTGTTGAATTTTGCAATTTTACACTTTGGAATCAAATTAAGATTTAAATTTAAAATTAAATTTGAAATGATTTATTATTTTTATATATAAAAAAATAAAGTATTTGAACATAAATTAGGTTCGGGATGATTTATATTTTACATTTAAGGAATAATCAAATTATTTTATATGTTTGTACAATAATAAACTTAAGTTTTGTTTATACTTTGACAGGGGAAGTTTGGAAAATAAATATTATATTATATATATATATGTATATAATAAATTAGTGATTACCAGTTTTATATATTTTATTTTTCTTTAACTAGATTTATCTATTTAAAATTTAAATTAATATTTAATTATGAAACAATTTTATAATATCTTCCTGTATTTTAACAACTTTAAAGCATTATCTTCCATTTACCTCATCAGATTATATAATCAATTTATTTTATTTAATTTGAAAATATGCACCATATTTCTCCTCTAAAAAAATATAGGTTTAAAATTTAAAAATCTTCTGGATTTAACTAACTCGACACACTTTACTAAACAATTTGTAGTTAGTTATTTTTAAAATAAACTCTATAAATTAGGATTTTTAATTAAAAAATATGTGCAGTATAACATCTAATAATAGATAATAGGGTAAAAGAATAAATTAATTCCTAAACTACAGGTCCAAAAATGATATAATGTGGTAAATTAAAATGAAAATTTTTATTTAAAAAGGTGTCCACATCTAATATTTGACCAAGCCTCAAATACAATTGTCACGTATCTCTGAGTCAATAGAAGAATACATGTGAATTTAAAAAAAAAATTAAAGTATACTTTTAATCCTTTAACTTTATATAAGATTTTAATTTGATTCTTTAATTTTATAAATTATCTTTTAAGTTATTTATCCTTAATATTGTTAGTTTCAAATGATTATTTTTTGTGTCAATCATTATTATTTTTAAAAAATAAACTTAATATGTCAATATTTGAAAGTTTCATGTAAAAATTTGTTGGGATAAAACTAATAATATTAAAGTTAAAGGATTAAAAAGATATTTTATAAAGTTAAGAGATTGAAATTAAACATTATGTAAAATTAAAAAATTAAATGCATACTTTATTCAATAAAATATAACAAAAATGCTATGAACAATATAAAACATGTTTGTTTGTAGTCTATGCTACTCATTATTAGGGCTGTGTAAAAGTCTCGTGGTCTCGTTCGGTCCGGTCTGATCCATGAAAATCCAGTCCTGTCCAGTCCTATAAAATGCTAGTCCTATAGGATCAAAAAGATCCAAAAAGACAGGACTATTTTTCGGGTAAGATAGACTAGAGACCAAGCATCTGGACTAAGTGGTCCGGTTTGGTCCTATATAATTATTTTAATATAATTAAAATTAATTTTGTAAATTATTAATTAATAAGTCTTAGAAAAAAAAAGTCTTAATCCTGCCTTGCACTTTGCACTTTGATCGAAAAAAAACCTCAACATTGTTACTCAACAACATTTAGCGTCTCAGCCACTCACTCAACTTTGCTCTCATTCTCAATTTTTTTAGTGCGCCAAAACCCTAATCCTGCCTTGCACTTTGTACTCTGATCTTAATCTATTCGAATTTTGAAGGAACATGTCTGTGGGTTGATTTTTATTACTTCTATTCTTGCTGATTTTTTTCCTCTGGTCTATTTTTGGTCTTTCCTCTGATTTTTTATTGAAGTTATGTATTTAAATCATTTGAAGTTTGGACTGTAACTAAAATATTATTTTCTTGGTGTTAGAAATTATTATGAATTTATTATGATTATTAGTGTTTTTATTATCTTAATTGAATTTGTTAAGTTGAAATAGATTGTTGGTCATCATAGAGAAAAAAAGAAAAAAAAAAAGCCAAGTGAGTATTGGATAACAGGACCAGTCTCCCAATCTTATGGACCAAGTCCAATCTTGTTAATCTCTGGTTTTTATAGGATCAAACCGAACTACGTAGTACCTAACCCAGTCCTTTTCATGAAAAGGACAGACTCCGGGCTTAGGCTAAAGTCCAGTCCCGTCCAGCCTTTTGTGCACCCTACTCATTATATTGGTGGGCATCTCTGAGTCACCAGAACCTACTCCATGGAATGCTCGGGGAAGAGAGATTTATTTTCCTGTAATTTGTTTTTTATGAGTAATTTGATACATACATACATACATACAGCCTATGGTAACAAATGTGATTTTTCAAGACATTCATGGTTAAATATAATTTTTGTTGACAAACATACATACATACATATATATACATATATGTGTGTGTGTGTGTGTGTGTGTGTGTGTTGATTTTTGTCTAAATTCGGCACATTGTGCTTAAGACAGGAATGGCCAAAGCCCAATTCACTTCCATGAAATATGATCCCAGCAGTTAGCCGGCCTTATCAGATCTAAATGGAATGCCACATTTGTGCGATGAGGCTTGCCTTCTACCAATTGATGGTGCAGACAGTTACCAGCTCCTTTTGATGCCAAAATTTGAATTTGAAGGAGTAAGCCGTTGTCAATTTTTTTTTTTAATATAAATAGGCAATAAGCATATAATTGAGATTATCTCTCAACACTTTGCACTAATTAATCTGTTCAGCTCAACTTTGACCTAGTTTTAAAATTGTCTAACTTGACTTTTTTTGTCAATTCAGCTTAGGCTCCCCTAATTTACTTTTACTTTATCTTCTCCTAAGTGAAGCACCCATTGTACTTACACATCGTTAATACAAGTTAAATTTGTGTATCATTCAGTGTAACCTTTAGTTTCTATTTCACTTGACATTTCAAGAAAATGGTGACAAAGGATTTTAAAACCTCACACAACTATTTGATTTTACTATTCATTTCAAGAATTTACTCTTCTAACATCTGGCAAACTCTCAAGAGTCCCAATAGCAAGCCAGCAATTATATGTAATTTTTGTTGCATGGAGATGAGCTGCATGTCAGACTGTAAGTTTTCACCAACATAAAATGTTTCAACTTTCAAGATCGCAATATTTCACCTAATTTTAAAGATATCTCTGAAATCACCATATTCGAACAACAACTTTTTAATGACGGTGACAAAAACGAAAAGAAATAATTATTAAAATAAAAACTACATACTCGTGTCTGGTAAATAATGATAAAAAATATTAAAAATTGAGAAAAAAAATAAAACTAAAACATTTAGAATCGGGGTAATAGGAGTGACTCTCGCTAATCATTAATCAACTTGTCGAACATTTACGCTCTTCCTTGAGCCGTTATTCTCCACTACGCTCTTCTCATAACTTGTCGAACATTGAAGTCACTTGTCGATTAAATTTATTTGAGAATTTAATAGGTAAACTATGCGTGTGTGTGTGTAATTTAACATCATAAAGATCTGATGATAATTGCTTAGGAATAAAGTATATAAATTATACTTTCATATCGATATGTAAGAGAAGACCTCAACTGTATGTAAGCAAAAGTTAGGATATATAAAATTTATTAAAATATTTTGGCATTTAAAAATAAAAGGAAAAATTAATTTTCATGTCCTTATAACTTTCTTTAATATAATTTTAGTCCCTATAACTATTTTGTTTCAATTAAACCCTTCTATTACAATTAATTAGATATATTAATTTTTGAAAATTAAAATTATTAGTGAATGATGAAGTTTCTCAAAACAAAAATACTTTTAAAATTTATAAAAAAATTGATTTAATATTATATGTTAGAAAAGATTGATTTACTACAATGTTTACAATTTTATTAATTTTTATAATATATATACTATTTATAAAAAATTACCTAATTATATAAATTTTGAGTTAAAAATATATAATTAATTTTAAATTTATATAATTTTTTAATAACAATCTAAAATTTCTTGTTTTAGTTTTGCAAAAAAGACAAATTCAAGAATTTTAATCTCAAAGATTAATAAAAAAATGTTAAACTATACCTTTAGTCCTTACACTTTACACAATATTTAATTATAAATTTTTAATTTTATAAAGTAAATTTTTAATTTTTTAATCCTAATATTATTAGTTTCATCACATAAATTTTAGAAAAAAAATTCATAGCAGTCCCCTTGTCCAAATTTATTGACAGTTAAATCCCCTAAAATTTTGAAATATCAATTCAATCCTTGTGGGTCCCACTTGGATTAAATTGAAATTAAGCTTTTGGGAAACATGATACAAATAACCCTAATGCCCTGCATTAGTTGTTTATTTTCCATACCCCACTTGTTTACTTTTCTTATACAAATTGTTCATGCGTCGAGTTTTATTTATTTATATTCACAATGATATTATATTCTCAATGAGAGTTGGAAATTTTTTCTATATCAATTATTCATTTTTTTACATGAGTTATTTATGCATATAGCTTTACTTATTTATATACATAGTAGTATTATATTATTAATGAGAGTTGACATTTTTTCCTATGTCAATTGTTTTTAATTGAGGAGATTGGGGTTATTTGTGTCATTTTCTTCAAAACTTTAATTTCAATTGAGCCCAAGTGAAACCTACATAGATTAAATTGATGTTTCAAAATTTTTGGGGATTTGATTGTCAATAAGTTTGGTCAAGGGATTGCAGTGAAATTTTCCCTAAATTTTTTGCTCTAAACTTCTTAAATATTAACAAAATGTTGAATGTTAATATATTAAGTTTAATTTTTTAAATAACAATGATTGATACAAAGAATAACTATTTAAAATTGACAGTTGTTAGGATTAAAAAACTAAAAATATATTTTATAAAATTAAGAAATTAAATTAAAACTTTATATGAAGTTAAAGAATTAAAAGTATAGTTTAGCCAGATATCACTTTTCAAGATACTTCACATGTAAGAAAATTAATGTGTGACAAACGCAAGACCTTGAGCCAATGAAGGGATAATTACATAAAATATGAAAATAATAAAAAATAATTATATATATATAAATAAATTTTTAATTTTGTAAAATAATATTATAGAAGGAAAGTTTAAATGTTATTTTTTATAAAAATAATCTAAATCTAAATATAATTTATTTAAAATTTAAAATCTATTGAGTTTAAGTGAAACATAAAAGATCCATTTTTTTAATTCAAATATATTTTATTTTGGGTCCGGTGGATTCAAACCTAATGAGGTTATGGGGGCAAAATTTTTAAAATTCGATTTACTCTTTGTAATTTTTTCCAAGTTGATTGGGACACTTGCCCACCCTCACTAACATTTGCGTCAGCCATCGGGTGCTTCCAAGGGGTAGGAGAAAGGGGAAGGGAGAAAAGAGAAAAAGGGGAGGGAGAGGGAGAGATTAGGATAAAACTCTCAAAAACTTTATCCAATATTTATCAAAGCTGAATACAAAATGAATGCTCTAATTTCATTTATAGAATTCTAAAAATAATAAAAAAATAAATTTAGATTTAAATCATTAATCTAATTTAAAGACAGAATGATATGATGCTAATGTATATTCTGTTTTATTGAACATAGATAACAATAAAATAAAATAATAAATCCTTTCTAATGGATAAAATCCTTATTCAAATGTTAAATAAATTTTAATTATCCTAATTAGCTAGTCTTTACATCCTATATTCCATCAATCAGTCTTGCATGGTGGACATCTGTCAAAATCTGGATTTTGTAACTACTTGGTGCAAATTATATCTGTCAGTTGGGTGTCACTCATGTTGAATTTGGACATTCAACCTCCTGAGCCATATAGAATGAATGATCATATGAAAAACATCGAATCTCTTTGGAGGATCATTGGGCACAAAATGTCTCTGCACCTGTTTTACTCTTCTCTGCATTCTGAGGTACTGTCTCTGAGGAATTCTCATGAGTATCTTCTTTATGTTGGGTATGTCCTTCACATCTATCTGCACTGAAAATGAGTTCCAATTCAAAACATCACTGAAGGGTGGCACGTAGCTATCTGAAATCAGAACAGGCACACATTCTGCAAACATGGCTTCCACTATTCTGGGACTTGCTACTTCATACCCACTCGGACAGAGGCAGAATCTGCTGTTTCTAAGCCGATCGTAGTAAGATACACCCTTGGGAAGCTGTTCATAGACCTGCACATCTTGGTCTTTTCCTTTCCATTGCTGAAAAAGAAGGTACCTTATATGGCCATGAAGACCACCTGCGAAGAAAGCGAGGATGTTCCTGCGAGATGGAGAGTAGCCTCCGATTAATCCTGTGATTTCACCTGTTATAAGATTAAATTCTGGGAGTGTAGCGTCCTTCGCAGGGTTGAATCCTTCTGATGTATTTGCATTGCACAGAACCCTTATTGAGTTGTGGAACAATTGAGGTACTTGAGAAGATACACGAGGCCCCTATGAAATATTCCCAAAGCTTTCATTAAAAAGTCAACATATGGTACCCTTTTCGAAGGTTGACTAGCTTGCAGGACATGCATGATATTCCAATTATAGAAGTTCTACCTTTAAAAAGTAATTTAGGATCCACGAAGCCGTTGTCCACTTAGCGATGATATAATGCAATTACATCATGACAGAAACTCTAGGATGATAAAGACAACCTCCATTCTTCCCCATTTTGGAAGACCAACTCGCAACGACAAACACAATTTACATATGGAGATACTGTTACAAGTACAATTTCAAATGGAGAATTTATATAAAAAAGACTAGCTTATTGAATTTATAAAAATCACTTCTCTTATGAAGTTCCTTGGTGTGGGACTTATAATAATACACCCTTGATTGTGGGGTGAGATCGTCGTAACTAGTTCTTTTCGTAATATCGGCATTTCAATGAAAAGCTAAGTATAAGTTCAGGGAGAAAACTACCTTGAAAGATCAGCACAATAGGTAGAAGAGCCTTTTGAACTAATAAACTTCACTTCATTTCATAACAGATATGCAACAATATTATGAGTTATGAAGATGAGTGGGGGGAGAGAGAGAAGTCTTATAGTTTTTACCCAATCATGGCAAGAGAGCATGAAATGATCAAATCCTATGCTTCGATTCCAGAAGGGGTATTTATGAGATAGAGTCTGAATGTAGTCAGTCACAGGAAAACCAACGGACTTGGTATCACGGGGCACTCTAGAAATATGTCTCACCATCATAGCCACACTGAAGGGCAAGAAATAGACAAAAGCTTCATCTGGATCATCAGTACGATAATGCCTCCCCCTCGCGAGTTCGTGTATGAATCTTCCTTCTGACGAGTATATGTTCTTGCATGGTCCATCATGGAACAGCGGAGGCTCCCCTTCCTTGTACACAAATATCTTGCACACCTTCTCCATCTCCAGGTAACTCCTATGCAGAATTATTCATCATAATTAATTATCAGTAGTGTACTGTTCAAGGCTCTCATGTGAAGTAGAGTTTGTACCTGTGAAAAGCATTGGGGTTTCTGTACATTGGTCCTCGAGGAACGAAGTCAGGGTCTTGCTGGATTGACGTCAAGTTTCGCACTTTGCTAGCTTCTCTAATGGAAGATCTCGCTTGGGCCAATCTCGCTTGAATCTTTTCCAGCTTCTTGTCCTTCTCATTAGTAATAACGCTAATTTTTTCTGTGCCTTTATGGTTCAATTCTGCATCAAGCTTTTCACCTTCCTAAGGACACACCGACAAAAAGAAGGATATGAGAAAGTACCCTACAAAGAAAAGAAAGGAATCGAATACTGAAACAGTTCTGATGAAGTTCTGACAAATAAGTTCTCGGAAGTAGCCGTTTTTATTTGTCCCCAAGTAGAAGAAACTTGAGCTTCTGATATTTCTGTTGAATCTGAAGTGTTTAAAGAAGGTGGAGAAAATGGAGGTTTTGTTTTCTTTTGTTCAGAAGGAGATGAAACTTGAGCTTCTCCTGATATTTCTAAGGAATCTGAAGTATTCAAAGAAGGTGGAGAAGGTGGAGAAGGTGGCGGTTTTTGCACGTATAAATTAGAGGGGACTGAGAAATTAATCATAGGAACAGAGAAACTTGGCGGGACGAAACCTGTAATGAACACAAGAAATAATGAAGATGACAGTATGATGAGCAGAACCCCAAAATAAAAACAGAAGTTTTGATTTTCAGAAACTCTCATCTTCAGTTCTTCACAGTGCTATCTTCACCAATCGTCATCTTCCCATGTAGTATCGCAGTGAGCGAACAACGAAGTAATATGGGGCTGTGATACATTTGTTGGTACCTAGCTAGAGCTTCTTTATCGATTACTGAGACGAAAAGACAGCTGCATGAGCCTATGAACATTTTTTTAAACGATTTTGTTTAACTGTTGAAACTGATATGTGTGTGTGTGTAAATGACATTTAAAAGGGCCTTTCTATTTTTTTTTTTCTCATCTAGATTGCTGGATTCGGTGTTATTATTTGAGTCAGTTCATTAGACTTTGGTTTCACTTTAAATATTGAAATGGGAGCTGTGCATGCAGGCTAGGCATGCATATGCTTTGTGTTCTTTTTAGATTTGTTTATTGTTTTATATGAAAGAAATCAATAAATAGACAAATAATCAAACTTTTTATATTTGAAGAAAGATATGATAAATTATTTACAAATGTCCATGTTTCCTTGTTTGAAAACAAATAACATAGCCGACAGGCCATTGGTCTATTGGCGCCATTGCCATTCTCTTAGTCCTATACCTCTTGTAGTTAGAGGCTTTCGGATCAAACCCCATCATGATTAAAGGGGGGAAATTATGTGTGTGTGAGTTGTGTGATGTGTGATGAGTGTGTGTGAATTGTATGTGTATGGAATCTCCGGCCCTATGAGGATGGGGTTAGCTAGGTTATTAAAAAAATGAATAATATAACATTCGTTTAGATGAGATTATTCTAACAATTAATATATAATTGGGTTATTAAACAGGATGGAGTATTAATTTTGAAATGAAAAAAAATTATATAGTTAACTTTGTGTATTTAAAGTGTTTATTTCTAATTAAATCAAGACATGCATGTGAATCCTTTATAAGGCTAAGTATCTAAATCTTAAATATATAAAATGTGAGGACAAATTATTTATATTCCATTATCCTAATAGTTTAAAATACAATAAGTGCATTTTTTTTTTTTTTGGAATTCCGATTTCCAAGTCAAGTTTGAGGCGAGTCAAATAGTTTATAAATAAGAACTAGTTATAATTTTTGAATGTATTACACGAGTTCTAAATCAAAAGTAAATAGAGTGGATTAATATAAATTTCGGAATTTATATAGAACTAATAATATTGATCGACAGTTAATATTTATATATTCTATATATAGGAAAAGAAAAATTTTCCGTAGGGGACCATAGTGGATAATGCTAGAATCGTAGAAAGACGAGAGAGTAGATAAACAAGGAGGAATAGGTGGCCTAGATTTATATTTCAATCTTGGATCTTTGATTCCTTCGAAGAGACTAAAAATAGTCTTTGAAGTTATTTCCTATGGTCCCAATATTGTAGGAACGCTAGAAAACGATTGGTGCTCATGTGAAAAACAAGGAGGAATCCCAGAAAATATAGTATCAATAATTTTTTTTATTCTATTGTCCAGCATGGTATTAAAACCATTCATCCACTCGTGGATATCTTGAGAAGTTTTTGATATTTTTCTTGAAGGCATTGCTTATTCTAGAATTTGAAACTTGACATCTTTTAGAATTAGCTTATTTAACTCTTCAAACCATTTGAACCAAACTTCTCTTAGTTGCCATCTTTTAACTATTACTCAAGTTAGATTATATGGTAACCAGTAATGAGGTTCAATTCTGCGTTAAGCTTTATTTTTCCCTTAACCAGTTCTGAAGGAAGAAAGAGAAAGAAAACAAAGTTGAGTGTTGAGTGGTGGAGTTCTCTCTCAAAGTTCTTGGAAGCAGCAAGACGTTTCTTTCTTTGTTTTTGTTTTTGTTTTTTTGTTTTTGGTAGCAAACAAGATGAAACTTGAGCTTTTGATATATCTATTTTTGTGGAATATGAGTAGCATCTAACAAGAGATGGAGCATATTGTGTTTTTTTTTTTCTAGAGAAAATTAATATTGCAATCCTTATAGTTTAATTGTCATATTTTTAATTAGGTCCCTGGAATGTTTTTCCTTTGGCTAAAATATATTTTTAGTTTTCTAGCTTTAAATTAGGTGTCAATTTGATCTTTTAATTTTGTAAAATATTTTTTAGTTCTTTAACCCTAATATCATTAGTTTTAAATGATTATTTTTGTAACAATTATTGTTATTTTAAAAAAATTAAACTTAATATGTTAATATTTGAGAATATTTTCTCAACATTTAAAAGTTAAATGTTAAAATTTGTTGGGATAAAACTAACAGTGTTAGAGTTAAATGACTAAAAAAATATTTTATAAAATTAAGGGACTAAAATAGAATATTATGTAAAATTAAAAGATTAAATGTATACTTTAGTCTTTTCTTTTTTTTTAATCTAATCCTTGTTGTTATCTATCTCAATCCATAACATTAAATAAAGATACATGTTTATGTGTGTTTGAAGATGCTGACATGGCTGATGACTTTGTCATCTCCATAGGCTATACTTTGAATAAATTGTAAGGAATTCATTTGAAAAAAGATAAACTTAAAGGAATAATATGCCTGAGTTCATTCATCCCTATATTTCACAAGCCTGATAAACGTAGAAATGCACTTTCTTCAACAATAATGAATCTCTTTATTTCTACAATGCTTAGTAACCCCTTCTTTGTTTCTTTGGCTACAAAGGACCACTAATCACAAGTACAGTGGTTGATTTAGGTGAGTTAAGCTTATTTAAATCAGGCTCAATTCAAGCCTATCTAAATAAATTTAAACTTATAAAAAAATTATATGATCAATGTAACGTCCTAAAATTTTAATTAGACGTATTAAACAAAGAAGGAAAGAGTTAGTACGAAACAAGATTTGGGATTTAAGAGTGAATTGGAAGGAGAAGTAGGGCTTTTGTCTACAACCACCTGCTGTTGTAACCAAATAGGCGATCATCACACACGACTAAACATTTTTGGGAGTGGAGTATACTCTCTATTCACAACCATTCACTGTCATATCCTTCACAAGAGATGACCGATTGTGTTGAGCATTCATAGAAGTGAGGTGTGTTTATGGATTACAATTGTCCGCAATTAAGTCCTTCACTAGAGATAACCAGTCATAGTTAATAACAATGAGGGAAAAATAAGGTAAATGGCTTCGATTGCTGATAGGTGTGTTTTATAATATGCACAATCATCCATGATTGAAATTGCAAGATTACATTTTAAATTGTTTAAAAATTTAGAAAAGTAAAGAGAAAGAAGAGATAGAGAGGGAGCGATAGAAAACATAATTTTGCTTTGCTAGGGCATACATGATTTAAACGTTAAGAAGTATTTTGAAGCTATCAAATACTTAGGGTAAGTTTTCTAAGCTCCTCTTCTCCTTCCTCTTCTTTTTTTAGGAGTTTTTGACTTAGAGTTTATTATGGGAGGATGATTTTTGGGCTTACAGGGTTACGGATTTGAATCCATTGGCTTAAATAAAACTAATGAAAGTTGTTTGAACTATCTAAATATAGTATTAGTAGTTTTATGTGTTTATGAAAGTGAGCTCTCATTAATGGATGAATTTATTCCGTAAAGTGTCATTAATGGTGGTGGTTGAGATGGTTAGGTGTCATTAATGGTGATTTAAGAGTTTAATAGAGTTAGTTGGGACTAATGGTAGTTAATAAACCTAATGGTGGTAATTAAACTCAAGAGTTAGGAGTTTTGAGTATTTAAAATGTTGATTGAGAGTTAGAAGTGTGATTATGATGATAGTTGTAATTGGTTTGATTAATTATAGATTAATTATCTTGTGCACCATTTGGGCTTGTGAGAAGCATTGCAAGTGAGTTAGTAATGAGAGGTATACCTTTGACTATTCAAAAGTTTGAGATAATAGGAGAAAATTTAGTTTATGTATTTATTTATTAATTGATTGTAGAGTTTTAGAAACTTGTTTTGTAAATGTGAAAATTACTTTCCATGATTTCTATAATATGAACTATATTTTAGAAATGTTTAAATGCAATGTATGGTTTGGAAAATTGATAATCATGCGATTGTTATCAAATGTGCTTTAATGAGTTGTATGCCAATGAATCTTGAAGTTTAAAGTGGTACATGATGATGTGGAGAAACTATATGTAATTTATTATTAATTCTTGAATATGAGAATTGTGAATGTAAACTGGAAAGATGCATAAGATAATGTGATCATACTATAATGATGTGATATGATTGTGTGAAGGTGGTTGAGATATGATATGTGATAAAATGGCTTTAGCTTGATAATATGATGAATAACATGCTTTATATGTATAAGCATGATTGTTCCATGATCATGACGGTAGAAGTTGCCTTAGAGAGAGGAGTAGTGTAATTCACATAGTATGATCACCTTTCAGTAACCAAAGGCTAGCCTTTATCGCGCTATATGTCGAGGAACTTGAATCTAACTTATCTCCACTTATTCTTTGAGGGGACTAGCTTAGAGAAAATGACACATCGAGGATTTAAGAATGGAAGAAGTCATGGTTCGAGAGTAAGTGTAGTAACCTTTAATCATGTTACTCTATACAAGTGATGAGCTTAGGTAATTTATTTACATATATAAAGCCTTGTTTGATTTAATGGCCTATCATTCAATTGGAGGTATCATGAGGTTAGGGAGGTGTTGAACATTCATATCATTATTCTTTATCACATGGTTGCTCAATTTATGACCATGACAACTTGTGATGGTTTATAATAACTTGAGCTATAATTGGATGTGATTGTGACATAATACATGTTATGTGCACACTTTGCATACTTTATAATCATACGACTTGCATTTATATAGATTAGATGTATCTTAGTTATTGAGTGGTTGTACTCATCTCTTTTCTTAAAATTCTATAAGCACTAGCTCAAGGAAAGTTAGAGGGAAAGCACTAAAGGCAGAGGAACTTTGTTCCTACTATAGGTCTCTTTTGTTTGCTTGTATATATGTGTAGTTTTAATGATATTGTCAACTAGAAATTTATTTTGGTTACACTTGTACTATTGGCACACAATATAAGGTTGGTTGTATTTTGGGCTATAGAATCATTGTTGTGTAATTTAGTTATTTTATTAGGGTTGAAATATCAGTGCAAGTATATGTATGATTGTATTGATGTAAATAAATGATTATTTTGATATATGCAATGCTAATAACCTCTTCCTACTATTTTTGAGATGAAAGGGTTGATGGTTGATTTTGAGTTATAT